ATATGGATGAAGATAAGCCTGGGAAACCAAATGATGCTGCTGTCTTACCTTGGCCTTTGGAAACAGGGGGAGTTATTGGGAAGGAAACAGGGGGAGCAACTATACCTGAATCTAATGATCCTCCTTGTGATCCTCCTGGTAAATGGGAAAAATTTTACAGCAGGCGCAAAACACATGAAGATACTCTAGACTGCCAGGATCCTGATTCGAGTCCTTGTTCCAGCAACCCACTTGAATGTACTAGTACAGCCAACATTGATATGCCTATTGCTCTTCGGAAAGGTACTAGATCTTGCATTGCTCATCCTATTTCCCATTATATCTCATATGAAAAGTTGTCTCAAGGTTTTCGTGATTTCAACACTATGTTAGATAGCACCAGGATACCCAAAAATATCCAAGAAGCACTTGATGACCCAAAATGGAGAAATGCTGTATTAGAAGAAATGGATGCACTTACAAAAAATGGAACATGGGAGTTTGTGACATTACCTAAAGGAAAAAAAACTGTTGGTTGCAAGTGGGTGTTCACAATAAAATTCAATGCAGACAATAGCATCAATAGGTATAAGGCCAGATTAGTTGCTAAGGGTTTACTCAGACTCATGGGATAGATTATCAGGAGACATTTGCTCCTGTTGCCAAACTTAACACTATCCGCGCTCTGCTATCTCTTGCCTCCAACCTTGATTGGCCATTGCAACAGTTAGATGTTAAGAATGCCTTCTTGAATGGTGATCTACATGAGGAAGTTTACATGGATCCACCTCCTGGTTTTGAAAAAGGGGATGGTTCTGTGTGCAAGTTGCAGAAGTCTCTCTATGGACTTAAACAATCTCCCAGAGAATGGTTTGGGAAATTTACTCAAGATGTTAAGGGAAGAGGGTTCACCCAAGCTCAGACTGATCACACCTTATTTTTTAAACACTCTGACAAAGGAAGAATTGCTATTCTTATCGTTTATGTTGATGACATAATTATCACTGGTAATGATAGCGAGGAGATAACCTCTTTACAAAAATGTTTAGCTAACCAGTTTGAACTAAAAGATCTTGGATCTCTCAAATATTTCCTTGGCATGGAAATTGCTCGGAGTAAGGAAGGAATTTCTTTAACTCAGAAAAAATACATTCTAGACCTGTTGCAAGAAACAGGTATGCTTGGGTGCAAGCCGGCAGAGACTCCAATTGAAGCTAATATCAAGATGGGTGTTGAGGACGGGGAAGATGTTGATAGGGAGCAGTACCAGAGACTAGTGGGGAAATTAATCTATTTGTCTCACACTCGTCCTGATATTGCTTTTGCTGTGAGCATGGTTAGCCAATTCATGCATTCTCCTAAGGAAAAACACCTTAGTGTTGTTTATAGAATTCTCAAATACCTCAAAAATACCCCTGGTCGAGGAATTTTCTTTAAAAAGGGGCACAAAAGGATGATTGAAATCTATATAGATGCAGACTGGGCTGGCTCTGCAATGGACCGAAGATCTACTTCAAGATATTGTACTTATGTCTGGGGAAACCTTGTGACCTGGAGAATTAAGAAACAAACTGTTGTTGCAAGAAGCAGTGCAGAAGCAGAATTTCGGGCTCTAGCCCATGGTATTTGTGAAGGAATTTGGTTACGAAGGCTTCTGGAGGAGTTGAAGATCTCCTATTCCCTACCTATCAGATTATATTGTGATAATAAGGCTGCTGTCAGCATTGCTCAAAATCCTGTTCATCATGACAGAACAAAACATGTGGAAGTTGATCGTCACTTTATCAAAGAGAAGTTAGAAGGCGGTAGTGTATGCTTGACATATATACCTACCAAGGAACAGACGGCAGATATCCTCACCAAAGGATTACTTAAGCCGACCTTTGAGAATTTGATCAGCAAGTTGGGAATGATCAATATATATCTCCCAACTTGAGGGAGAGTGTAGAATATGTAGAATATTCTAGATAGTATTTATTGATGTAGTTGGTAGTTGTATATTTAGTTGGTAGTTGTATATTTATTGATGTAGTTGGAGGTTGCATATTTATTAAAGTAGTTGAGGTAGTTGGATGTACTCAATATAAAAAGGACCCATTGGGTCTCTCAATGAATAAAGAAAAGTATTATTCAGATAAAACACTTCTTCCACTTCTTCTTTTCTTCACATTCTCTAAATATCATTCATTGCATATATAAACTTTTGATACAAAACAATCAAAAGTGGGGTAAATGTATTCAGCCAAAACTAACATGCTTCAGGCCTAAGCAAAAAGTATTGTACTATTATCTCTATTTTTAAGATTTCATATATAAAAGCCTGAATTTATTTTGACAGACTTTCTAGACTTACACTGAAATCACTAGCAAAGATTTGTAAAATTTCATTTAATGGGAGATGCATTTTTGAGAGATAATGATAGGGCCTAGAGAGTAGATAGTTATTATAGTTAGTTAGTTAGAATAGTCATGTTTGGGCGGTTTAGAGGTAAGGAATTAGCTTAAATAGGAAGAAAGGGTAGAAGAGGGGGATTCAGATTTGTTAGCATTTGGGAATTGAACATTAGCCTTGTTGTAAAAAGGGGGAACCCTTTATGAAGAGAAAATCCTTGGAAGAATTTTCTCCTTTGGTCTCTATAGTAATTCAATAAAACATTTCAAAAACTCGGAATCTGTTTATGGGTTCCTAACAATTTGGTCGGACCCGCTAGATCAATTTGCTTGGACGATAGATGTAGAAAGAAGCGATCATTCTTAAGAATGATAAGATGTACAAACAACCCTCCGAAGAAATGAGGAGCAAAACATGGCCGAGAGGATGGAGGAGAACTCAAACGGAGTGGGTTTGGGTGTGGCAGTTACATGACATGTTCATGGGGAAGGAAGGTAGAATTACCCACCTTTGACGATTGCGATCTCGTGGGCTGGATAGCCAAGGCAGAGAAGCTTTTTATACAACATCAACATCAACTTTATCTCAAACAAGTTGGAGTTTCATCTCATAAATATAGCTGTGTATTTTTTACGGCCGGCTCGCTACACCTTCCACCAACCCTCCTCCTTTACCCTAACTTGGGACATACCATACATGCATGCATACATAGGCCATGCATGTAGAGAAACTTTTTATACTTTCGAAAATCAAATCATCAAAGAAGTGCCGCTAGCATTCATCAACGTGGTCGATGTGGCAGGGTATCTATTTCGATTTTTGAAAAAGAAGACATTGGAGTTATCATGGGAAGGTCTCACCATAGCGCTAATTAAAAGGCTTGGCGAAAGAAGCATGGGGAACATCTACGAAAGATTGGCCACATTGAGATAATTAGGCATGGAAAAGTGAGGTTTTGTAGGAATAGACTTCATTGATGACAGGAGAGCAACTATAGGGTTTCTTCTAGGAAGTGAATTGTAGGGTCAAGACCCATGACTCTAAAGAGGTAACAAGGACTATCGAGTTAATCAGGGATGTTGAGGAAGAATTGTGGGCAACTAGAGCTTTATGGAGTCATTATTCTAGGGTCCTATATTGGGTTATTGCCATAACAATAGTGGTGGCAGTGTAATGCATATCAGGACTATTCTGCTGGGTTTGCCTTGCCTATTATAGGGATAAAATATTGAAAACCTCGTCAGATGGCAGCACTTTCGTTACAGAAGCAGAGCTAAATGGTGGTGGTCGGTTGTCATCAAGGTGTTCCATGGGGAAGTTAAACTCTAATGGTTCTTTTGTACAGAGGAACAAGGGAGCTTGACAACTCCCATATCAAACAAGGGAGCTTGAAAACTCCCATATCAAGAATATATGGAAAGGTGAGAGGAAGGATGTTGTTTTCAGTGTGGATTGGAATATAGACCTTCTCACAACTGCTAAAAAAAAAAAGCCTATAAATTACCCTTCTTGGTAGAAGATGAACAAGTGAATGAGGACAAGAAGATTGTCCAGAATAAAGGAAGAGTGGGAATATGAACAGCCGACTTTCCCATGCAAGGGAAATTCCCAATTACCACCTTAAGAACAAGGCTGAACTTCATGGGGATGGTATTGATAGGGCCTAGAGAGTAGTCTATTAGAATAGTTATATTTGGGCGGTTGAAGTTGTCAGAGGTAGGGAATTAGCTTAAACAAGAGGAGAGGGTAGAAGAGGGAGCATTTAGATTTTTTAGTGTTTAAGAACTGAGAATCTCTGTTGTAGATAGGGGTGTTAACGGGCCGAGCCGGGCCAAGCTTTAGTCTTAAAAGGCTAAGCCTGTGTTTAAATTTGTTAGCCTGGCCTAGTCTCTTACCTGTTATGAATATAATTATTGGTCTGTGGCCTAGCTTATTTACAAAATATAAAAGTGTAATTTAGCTTGTTAAAAAAAAAATAAGACAACAAAAATTTATCCAAACAAAATACACGATCAACAACATTAATAATTCCACAAAAATTTATAAATTTAATGTATATCCAAACAACATAATATAGAACAAAATCATTCAAAAAGTCTATTTAACCAATAAAATGGGGTAAAATGAGTTGAGGAGAGAGAGAGAACTATTATGAGTAGTATAGAAAATATAAAATAAAAACAAAAGTTTGTATACTAGGCTAGCCTGAGAGGCTCTAAGGCCGGACTTTTGAATTGGAGCCTGAAGCCTTTTTATTAAACGAACTTTTATACAAGTCCAAGCCTGGTTTCAACAACCAATTTTAGACATGTAAGCCCAGGCCTCTACGAGCCGGACCAAAGACCCCTGGTTCGTTTAACACCCCTAGTTGTAGAAAGGGGAAACCCTTTGAATCCTCTTCTTAGGTCTTTGTTGTAATTTAGTAAAACATTTTAGAAGTATTCTTTCTCTTTTCCTTTCTCTGCTTTTGTCATCTCTCTCTTTGAAAACTCATAATCTATTTGAGTTCCAAATAGAGAGAGAGAGAGAGAGAGAGAGTGTCCATTCACTATGTCATTGATGTTTAACTTAAAAACTCTACTCGGAGATCTGCTTGTTAGTCCTACAAGATCATGTAAGAAGTAACTACCTTCCCATGGGCAATGGCTATTTCCACATCTGGGAATGACTCTTCAAGAAATTCCATTACTTCTTCGAGTCCTGTAACACAACAATAGTTGAGAAACCAGAGTCAATACTTTACTAAAGGCACATTAGCAAATATATGTTAATGGCACCACCATGTTGAATAATCTCTTTTTAGGCCTGTGATGATCATCTAATAGTAAAACTCTGCTTGTGACAGGAGCATATCTTTCTTCAATCTCGTGAAAATAAATTCATTCACTGAAAGATGAGAATAATAAACTACACTTTAACATAAATTTGAAAAAACACTTATTCACACTAATGAGAGACTTCAGATCAGTCTCCTTACGTTATTTATTTATATCAGCAGGCTTCTCAGGAACTGAAATAGCAAGTTTGCTGACATGGAATTTCTCTGAAGCAATGATTAGCATAGGTTATCCCATAACAAAAAGAAGTGAGTTGTTTCTTGCAATGTCTGAGACGATTTTAAGAATGTGTATAAAATTAGATCAGTTTTAAAGAAGCTTCCATTGGGTACATTGGGGATTCTCTTGCCTTTGGTAAACTTTATGCTGGATACTAGAACGCTACAATTACGTGAGTTTCCAGTAATTTTTCCAGTGCTGATAAGCATCCTGATCTTCATGGAGTTCAACTTAATTAATTAACTTATAAAAATTTAGTGCCTTATTATGTGCAAAGAAGGCTATAATTCATGGCACTAAATAAGATGGAATGTCTTGTTGAGATCATGTGATTCTAAGAAGAAAGGAGTACTGGGGTTAAAAGAATAATTTATTCGAATAAAGGTATTGAAGGCTTAAATTTTATTTGAGCTGTCTTAGCTTTGCCCTTATCAATTGACAGAAAAGATAAAAGAGGGGGGGGGGGGGAGGGTATCAATTTGCATCTTTGAAGAAGATTTTGGGAGATAATCTTCTTCAAGATCATATTTGGATTGGAGCTGAGATAAACTTCTGGAATTGAAGCATGGTGCTCAATCCATGAACAAATATAATGCAAGGAAGGCCAATGAATACTTTTCAGGCCTAATTAATGGCATCCTGCTGTCCTTTATTTCTTTCTTTGGGTGTAAAATGATATAAGTTGCCCCTAAAATCTCTGCGAAAGGTGGGTACTATTAAAGAAAGGAGAAGGGCACTTGCCTTCAGCTGACCTGATGACCTCCTTGATATCCAATCTATATCTATTAAGGTTACTGCATTCTACCTGCCAACTCATGAGTCTTCCACTTCATTTCCATAAAAAAATTGTGATCATTACAGCATAATGAGATGAAGGATTATAAGCAACAGACTTGCCTAGAGTACAGCAGCAGTACCATTTTGGGGTTCCCTGTTGAGTGATGCAGCAATAAAAGGCAGAAACCATATATTAAGAGTAAGCTTCACTGGAAGGATTTGGAAATACCTAGCAGCTGAAATCTATTCTTAAGATTAAGATAGCTTTTGCTTTATTTTTATTTTTTTTTAATTCCTTATTTTTCAAAGTTGTTACAGATAGTTTTTTCAGAACAAGCTTAGATAGAAAGAAATAACAGAACATGTGCACCAAGGTTTTAAACAGAGAGAAGTTGTATCCCCTCAGAAAGGGTTTGAAGATTAAGTTTGTCAGTTAAAGAAGCTTGCTGTGCAGCATTTTAACTTAATTGTCGGAAAGTATGTATATGCAGTAAATAGGCAAATAATATACTGCTTCGCTCAACTTAGATTTTGTTTGACAGGAGCTTCTGCTGGCTTACAGCCAAGTTTCCTTGTTGCTAATAGGTGCAACACATATTTCTGTTGAGAAATGAATAATCCATGGCAAGAATGAGCTATTTCAATGCGTAGAAAGTATTTTGACTTGCGTAACTCTTTAATTTCAAATTCTTACAGAAAGCACTTCTTTAGGGTCTTCATTCACTCTATATCATTTCCTATAACAACAATATCATCTACATATGCGGTTAGTGTATTTCCCTCTATATTTGATTGCTAGGACCAGAAATGATTGCCATGGCATTATTCAAATAAATAAAATCTTGATCATCAATTTTAGATAAATATCTTAGCAAACTTCAATATTTCGTGGGAATAGAGATGACAAAATCCAAGGATGGTATTTTAATTTCACAAATTATGCCACGGACATTCTTAAGAAAATTGATCTGTTGAATACAAGTCAATTGACATTCCTATGGATCCAAATACTAAACTTTTACGAATCAAGGGGGGCACTTTCAAATCCAAAAAGATACAAAAGGCTAGTTGAGAAACTAAACTGTCTCACAGTTGCTTGTCCAAATATGTTATTTGCAATCAGTGTGGTAATTTAGTTCCTCAATTCACCTTATGAAGGACAGAAGGATGCAGTGATTCGTATCCTGAAACATGTCAAAGGATCTCTAAGAAAAGGATATTCCAATGAAGATAAAGGCAACACTCATATTGTCAAATACTCAAATGCTGATTTGGCAGGTTTCCTTATTAATAGAAGGTCCACTTCAAGGTACTATGTATTCATAAAGGATAACCATATAACCTAGAAAGCAAGAAGCAAAATATGGCCACAAGATCTATTATTGAAGTAGAGTATCAAGCCATGGCCTCAACCATGTGCAAACGCATTTGGTTAAAACAACTGCTCAAAGAGCTCCAGTTTGAAGAATGTATGCAAATGGAACTCTGATAGGACCGGATCAAATAACCAAATAACAGAAGAATTGGCCCAGAAAGGATCTGGATTTTCTATATATTGAACAAGAAAAGGAATCACAGAATGCAAATACAGAAACAGTAAAGACTCAAAGAAGAAAAGTTAATATCCAGCACATTCGAGAGGTGCTGAGGCTCTCCCATGTTTCCTAGTCCTCCATTCCTCCTCTCGTCCTTCATATATTAATCGTAACTAACTTCCTCAGTCACCCTTTTCTCTCTCCCCCAACAGAATTGCCTTCCACATCAGCCTCTAGAATATTCCTCTCATTATCATTGGTCACTTTGTCTGAGTCGGCATTAACTAATATTCCCCTGAGATGCTTCCTAGAATACGTTTTAAGCGATATTCTATCACACTCGTTTGTGATATTTAGGCTGTGCTGCATATCGCCTCCAATCTAGAGTTTCATGAGATAACCAAACATATTGAGATTGATTGTCATTTCATTAGAGAGAAATCTTATCTAGAGACATCATCACTAGCTTTGTCAACTCAAATGATCAACTGGTGGATGTCTTCACTAAAGCTTTGAGAGGTCCTTAGTTAAGTTATATAAGTCACAAGCTTGGTGCATATGATTTATATGCTCCAGCTTGAGAGGGAGCATTAAAAAATATGTAAATATTGTAAACAAGCTAATAATATCTTATAATTGCGGTGATTAGGTTATTTGGCATTCTTGTAATTATTACATTTAATGAAAAAATAGAGCCTCTGTTGTGTATGTATCTCATTTTCACTTCATCTTAACAATAATCAATTATGTTTATGCTGATGAAAATTCCAATGATAACTTTAATCTTCCTTCCTTTTCTCCTATTGCATCTTTTGGTGCATTTGACAAATTTAAGTTGTTTGAGTCATTCTTCTTTTTTCATGGTTGAATGAAAACCCTATCGATAGAAACACTTAACAATAAATGGCTACAACAACAATAGAAACACAAACAACATATTTTACTGCCAAGTAAATGTAAATGCCATTTGATAAGGTAACAAAAGGTCTATCAGACTTAGATAACACATCAGCATACACATAGAGCATGTACCGAAATGATGAGCTTGTAATCACCTTTAATACGTGGCAGAACATAAAAAACTTGACCACCACGATCCAGCTCATACTTGATGGCGGATATTACTTTGTCCTCACTGAACGAAGATAGGTGAGTCTTGATAGGAACTCTTTCTGGAGGTGCAGTTGAAATTAAACTGAAATAGAAATCGATAGAAATTACAACAGTATCATACTTAAGCTCAGAGGTTAGTTGATCTTAATTGATGTTTGATCAGTCCAAAGTTTAACAGAAAGCCAACTATACAAAATATAAAGTTCCCATCTAAGCACGCATCAAAAAGCCATGCTAGGCAAAACTAGAACCAAAAGATAAAGGTGAAAATAAAAATAATAAGGGTCTTTCTAATAGGAGCAGAATTTTGCAGGGGACTAAATTTTCTGTTACAAAAGTTTGGGTTTAAGTTGAATTTTCAATATCGTGGGAAGTTGATGAACCAATTCTGTATCAACTTAGTTTCATACTTTTGCCTTTGATTCCATATATTTCCCCTCACTACTAACTTATTATTATTTAACATCATAGATGTCTTGTTATACAAAGGTTTGGGGAAACCTGGGTAGGGGAAGCGGGAAAAACTTGACATACAAGTACAACAGATATTACACTGTTTTGTCATATCTTTTTCAACATTTATTGTAACTAAGATCCCTCGTGCTTTTTGCTTGGTTTTAGGATAAAAGGCCACCTCATCATGCATAGACAGCTTAAAAGAGTAGAAAAAGACCAACTCTCTGAAAGCCTTAAGCTATCAAGTGAAGGCTTATGAATGGTTTTATATCTAATATGCCCCCTCGAACAAAGCCCTTTAAGCTTGAAGCATGGATAATGCACAAACCTATCCTACCTTGAGGTATAATTTAACTTTTTATTTAGAAGAATGGGGATAATAAAAGATCAAAGTTCAAACTCTTGACCACTTGGTCAGAGACTTTGATACCATATCAAGAACCAAATCTTCCAAAAGCTTAAGCTATCAAGTGCAGCTCTATATATGATTTTATATCTAATGAGTCAAATCCTAACTTAAAACATACACATTCTAGTTAAGCAACTTAAATCTATGGTATTGGACCGTAATTCATATATTCTACAACTGCAAGATCAATTTAACATAATCCAACAAAGTATTCTCTCTCTCTCTCTCTCTCTCTCTCTCTCTCTCTCACACACACACACAAACACATGCATTTACAGAACATGCACAGCACTACCTATATATGTGAGGGAGAAAAAGAAAAGAATTACATTCATCTTAGTTCATCAACCAAATTATTTGAGGGTGGATTTTTTTCTTTTTTTCAAAAACAAAGTGCAACACAAATTTGTAAGGCTTTTTTTTTATTTAATACTAGAACCAGGATAACCATAGACAACAAATCTTCCTTCATAATTCGTGAAAGGCTTACCTAGCATCACGAAACCCTGTCAAGGCTAAATAAAGAGTTCGGGGTATAGGGGTTGCAGACAAAGTAAGTACATCCACAGAAGTTTTAAAAGAAGCAATCTGCTCCTTCTGTTTGACACCAAATCTCTGCAATGCAATAAATCGTTGCTTAGTAGGGGGAGCGGAGCTGTAATCAGAGGAAGGAAAATATTTATTGCAGATGATTGGTAAACCTGTTCCTCATCAACCACAAGCAGGCCAAGGTTGTTATATGCAACACGGTTTCCTAGGAGTGTGTGAGTCCCAACAATAATATCCAGGTCACCATTCTTAATCATATCCAAGTGCTGTTCTTTCTCTGCTCTGGTCTGCAAGTTGTGATAAGTGATATAGTCTATTATTGATATAGGAGTTACAAATTATCCATAAATATCCACCTAGAAGATAAGATTTTCCCATGATGAAGCTCATATTTGTTTGACCTTAATAATTTGCCAGATTTCAAGTTCCTACAATGTCCTTATGCTACCACTTTACAAGAAAAGCTTGAATTATAGAAAAAAGGAGGGAGTAAGACAAATCCAGACTCAGAAATCATAAAACCATGCACTACTCAATTTGATACATATGGAACAGCAAATAAGGGCAGTAGTACATTGTTATTTGACTACCGAAGAAGATGAATTGGATAAGTGAAATCTCTTATTCATACTCTGTAACACTCATCTTTAGATGAATTTAACTATGACTAAACTGGGAAAATACTCATGGTCATACCTGAAACCTGCTCAGTAGTCCAATTTTAATATCAGAATATGCAGAAAAGCGTTCTGAAATAACATCAAAATGTTGTTTAGCTAGAACTCTTGTTGGTGCCAGAACCATCACTTGCTTTTTCGCTGAGACAACGCAGTGGATAGCACGTAATGCAACCTCAGTTTTACCAAAACCAACATCTCCACAAATTAATCTGTCCATTGGAGTTTCTCGCTCTGTCAAATCCTTCTCAACATCAACAAAAGCCTGCAAGAATATGTATGTGGAAGAAATGAAATAACTGAATAAGCATAACATAAACAAGTAATAATGAGTCAAAATAAAAAAAATCAACATATGAGCTTTGATTTGTGAACACCTGAGAGGTATTGGTACTTAAATCACTAAAGTAAAATTAGAACATAAAATCACAATTAACTTATCCGCGTCCGCCAAAACACACAGCATTTACTATGATATCACCTGTTTCTGATCCGGCGTGGGTTCATAAGGAAATTGAGCAGTGAATTCAGCCATCGCAGGACTCTTAGGATACGGAGGCCTTCTTTGTTTGAGCCTATGTAGATAGAGTTCCATCAAGTCAATAACCATCTTCTGTATAGCCACCTTCCCTTTAATCTTTCTTTTTTCCCACGCACTAGTATCATTTAACTTGCTTAACTTGGGAGACCTTTTGTTTTCATTTGGACTGTAAAGTTACACCAAGTTTAACACACAGTCATTCAGTAAAGCATCAACACCAATATCAACATCAACTTTATCACAAACTACTACGGGTCGGCATTCTATGAACCCAAATCAAAAACAAGAAAAGAATGAGGGCCATTCAGTAAAGCAAAAGGCAATTTCATGGCTTTTTAACCTTTTGATGCAAAATCCAAGACATATTACCAGTTTAATTCTTTTGGCAAACTATTTACCAATCTAATATGAGTGAAACACACATGGGAAGTGTGTGCGTTTAAGTTGCATATCACCCCATGCATGACTTGTGCAAAAGCCAAAATGTGCCTATCACATGTATGCAAGACGTGCAAGGGTGCGTGCACAAGGATGCGCATAGTACGTTGCTGCGCTGATTTTTGAACAAGTCACGCATGGAGGTGATTCCCGACTTAAATGCGCACACTCTCCATGCAAGTTTCGTCCGTAGATCGGTAAAAAAGGTAATAAACAATTTAATCATCCTCTATGTAAAGAACCAATTCAACCCAAAAGCTTAAGCTATTGGGTAAGGCTATATCAATGGTTTTATATATCTCAACACGCCCCCTCACACGAAAGTCCACTGGGCTTGAAGGGTGGACAATGCACAGACCCACCTACTGTGCGAAAAAAGAAATTCCACTTGAAAGAAAGTGGGAGGCGGTGAGGATCGAACCCAGGACACGAGGCTCTGATACCATGTAAAGAACCAATTCAACCCAAAAGCTTAAGGCACTCCCACCTTTTGAGCTAGCTTTTGGGGTGGTGCATCTCAAGGTTCTTTACATGGTATCAGAGCCTCGCCGTCCCCCACTTTCTCTTGTGGAATTTCTTAGCACAGGTAGGCTGGGCCTGTTGCATCATCCACTCTTCAAGCCCAATGGGCTCTTGCGTGAGGGGGCGTGTTGAGATATATAGTCCCACATTAGTTGTATGAGCAACTAATGTGGAGTTTATAAGGCCTTGGGCACTCCCACCCTTTGAGCTAGCTTTTGGAGTGGTATATTCCAAGATTCTTACATGGTATCAGAGCTTGAGTGACTACAAGATCACAAGTTCGATCCTCACCGCCCCCCACTTTAAAGTGGAATTAAAATTAAAGCACAAAAAGGTAAACCAAAAATTGGGCCTCTGCAATATCCACGGCGTGTTGAGATATATAGTCCACATTGATTGTGTGGGCAACTAATGTGGCATTTATAAGACTTTGGGCACTCCCACCCTTTGAGCTAGCTTTTGAGGTGGTGTATTCCAAGGTTCTTTACACTCTGCATTCAACAAAATGAGAAAGAAGGGGGTGCAGGAAAACTTACAGAGTATATCTGTAGAGCATTCTAGAAGCCTGCTTGACAGGTAGCTTTGCCATCCCATCTGCATACTCTATGAAAACATACTCAGTGGGTTCTGTAGAATTCTTTGGAACATCAAATTTGATCCCAACAAACCTCCCAATACCCACTTTCTTATGCACAACATAGTCCCCAGAACTAAGTGTGTAAGGGTCTACCTTGTAGCTAAAGGCACCATCTTTACTCTCCCTTACACCCTTCAACTTCTGCAACCCTCTCTGTTGTTGCTCCTTCACCATTTTTATGTACTTGTCAGCTTCCTTCGAGTCCATCACAGTCCTCGAAGCCTCTCTTTTGCCGTAGTCACGGCGAATCCTCTCGTTGAGCACAGTTATGGGGTCGTTCTCTAGCTCAATTTTCTCAGTTCTGTTCACCATTTTGGTGGGTGAAGAAGGGGCATAGACTGCATTGGTGGGTAAAAGCACTAACCTTTTGTTGTTTTGGCGCAAAGGGTATCTGAGGATGAAGAGCCTCCAAGTTTTGGGAGAAGAACTGAGCTTGGGGATGAGGGGTGTTGAAGTGTGTAACCTTGGGAGAAGACAAGCCATTGAGTTGAAAGAGAAAAAGAGGGAGGGAAGGGTATGGATTCAGAGTGTCATTGGGAAGTTTTAATCTTTGGAAGGAAGAGTATGTAAAGGAGGATAATTTGGATATGAAAATGGAGGATTTGGAGGGGTTTTTGGTTTAACAAAGAAAGAATTCATAACAATAATTTTTGTGGGGTTGAGATAACGGCCTGTCTAGGATTATATCTTTAGCAACTCAATTTCATTATTCAGATATTTTTTGTAATAATAAAAAAATATATATATATTTCGGATGATTTTACAATATCTTTTGGTAATTTGGGTTCGATAGAGATGGTGTTTTGGTTCATCATTACTTGATTCCCAACGTGATGTATTTCGGATATTTCATGGACCTATTTTTGGATTATGAATGTATTACATTACATTACACAGCTCATCAGAAAAAGAGGATAAACGCCGGAGAGTACAGCATAAATGAAGACAATGGGACTCTCTTCCCAATTCCCATTAGATGGAGCCCACGTTAAAAATCCCCGGTTAACAAAAATTAGAGATAAAAATTGGATTGAAACGTTTTTTACGGGTAATTGACCCTTTTGTCCATCATATGTCTATATACTTAATTTCCATGTGCTTAATTTGATTGTTACTTTAACTAGCCATAACAACTCAATCATCGCAATATATCTTTAATGACTTGAAAATCAAATTCATGACTCTAAGCCTCCTCGAAATGAAGCTCTTCGATAGATGTGTTAAAATGGGTTAAAATTTGCGAGGCAGCAAGCAAAATCCTATACTTAGCCCTAGTTTATTAGAGCTTTTTTGATAGGATCTTTTTTTAGTCCTAATTCTCAAACCTCTCTAATTTAGCATATTGGGTTAGGGCTATTCTGTAAGCCAAATTTTTTTCTTCATTAAATTTTCATTTATTTAAAAAATAAAAATATATAAATTTAAATATTTATAAATGAAATAAATTATAAACATAATATAAGTAAAAAAAAAATTAACAGTGATATGTTTTAACATTCATCTACGTATTAGTAAAAATAAAGTTTTTTATTGACATATAAGCATGTTATTGTATTATGACCATTTTTCCATCATTATTTTTGATTTTCCAGTAGAGTTGTTGTATTATGTTATGATCCTAATGAGAAAATTTTCATTTGATGGCATCCTTTAATAACGAATTTAGTAAAGGTAGTAACTAAATTTTCACCATTTTCACTTATATATTTGTGTACAAATACTATTTTATTAAAAAATTAAATTATGAAAATTTTATAATTTGTATAAAATATTTTAAGAAAGTGTTAAATGTTTACTTGTTAAAATAATTTTTAATTTATTAAATATGATAAAAAAATAAAATTTTATGAAATTATAATTTTGGATGGCCCGCGGGCTGGCCCTAACCCATAGGGCTTTTGGCCCGTGTGGGCCTTTATCATTGAAGGCCATTTGGCCTAGTGGGCTTTTTGCACCTAACCCACACGGACTAGGGCCTAACGGGACGAACTAACCCATTTTGACAGCTCATCTATATGTTATAATACCTCGTATTTCTAAAACATATAGTTATATATTAAAATATGGATTAAAGGGTAGGATTAGTGAAAATCCTGAATTTAGGACCAAAATACGTAAAAAGGGTAAAATGATAAATTGTTAAACATGTAACCCTAGAAAAGAAAATTTGAGTAGAAAGTCTCAAATGGAAAAAATAACACTGGAAATAGATTCAGAAAGAAAAATTGAGTGGTTAGGCAAGTATATGGAAAAATGATGAATAGTGTTTTTACCGAGTGAAAATATCGCGTTACAGTCGCACCGTAAAGCGTGCCGAATGAATTTTTAGCTCTAGATTTGGAAGTAGGTTATAAATGGTACATAGGACTAGAAATTATGATTTCTGATGAAAATTGATTGGGATTAGGTTTTTGGGGAAGCGTACCCACAAGCTTAAAACTGTGATTTCGTCGAACGATCGGAAAACTCCAAATTCATCTGACCAAGGACAATGGTTAAGCTTAAAAATTAGAGTTTCTAAATAATCTAAGAATTAATGGACGTTTAGTGGATTAAGCGGGAGATTTGAATTAATTTGAATCGCGTGAGGTGACAGTGGGACCCACCCCACTTAAGTATAACACGCCACATGTGCTAAGTTCTTATTCACCTTCTCCTTCTCTCCTCTTTCCCCTTACAGCCCGTGTGCAAGTTTTGGTTTGAAATTTCATTCAACCAAAACACACTCAAATCTTCACCAAAACACAACTTTCACTACATCAAACTTTAAGTAAACAACCTCCTAAACACAATCATGGTATTTTCAAAGCTTGAAACTCACTAATTTGGGGAAAAAATGGGACCCATGTCTGCGGCCATGGTGGAGAAATTTGATGTTCTTGGAGTTGATTGATCCTCCAATGCTTGGGTATTGTGTGGAGGAGTCCTAGGCATTGATTGCGAGTAAGTTTTAACACATTTCATTGGTTGATTCATTGGATTTGATTTTATGAACCTAGGGTTAGTGTGCATGGATTGATATGGTTAGAGAGCTCAAATTGAAAATGTGTATTAGATAAAAGTGACTTAGAATGATGTTTTATGGTGATTGAGCTCATAAAATTTTTTGGTAAAAAAGTTGATAACTTATGAAAATTTTGAGTTGAAATTCAAGACTTTGTGAAATGGATATGTTGTTGGATATTGTAATAGAGTGTTGGAGCATTTGTATGAGTTAATTATAAGATTGTATGGTGTGTGGAAGTGTTGAAATGAAGTAGAAATCCTTTGTAATGCATGCTTGTTGATTTCGGCCATTGAAGGGAAATAAGGAAAAGATGATGTAAAAATCATGTGATTGGTGTTGTGTGATTGTGAATCATGTTTAAGTAGGTTGTATGTTGAGTTAATGCATTGAATTAGAAACAAAACCATTGGGTGATGTGCATGTGTCATTTTGGCCATGATAAGGAACCTTAAGGGAAATGATGTTGAGATGTGATTGAATTGAATTAAGGGCTTGAATTGGTATTATGGTGAGCTTAGGAAATCATTGGGACATTGTAATAAAATTAACATGGTTAGGTACTTGGAGGCCATTTGGCCGAACCTATGCATGTGTGGGGGGGAGTGTGGTGCTTTGCATTTTGACTTGGTTGCACTATGATGTTGATGATCCTTGTGTGATCATTGTAGGTTGCCTCTTGCGGACATGAACTTGGAACGGTGAGCTTAGCGGGTTGTCTTTGGTCCCTGACCAAAAGGATTGAAGTAAGTGGTTATGTAAAAATGCATGAGTACTTGAATAACCATGTACATGTTCTTATTGGGTGATATTGAAATAGGAATGACCCATGTGTAGGCATTTCTTATTGGACCAAGCTCGGTTGTGTTCTACTTTGAAGCTACCTAGAGAGGGAGCTTCCATCAGGTAATCCTTTGGTACTTGAGTCAGTCCTCGTCTATGCTCCACCATGCCCCTTGGGGTAGTGGTTGGAGGTGTATGTTGATAGTGTATTATAACATGCTCATGCATATATGTATGTATAGTGGGTACATAGAATGTACTGTGTCTCTAGCCAGTAGACTGTTGCCTTTGGGCTTTACGGACTTCCACTAGATAGGTCTCCGTGAGGAAGTTCCAGTTGACCTGGGGTCATGGAGTGTCATACGTTGAAGAGCACTCTAGGAATGTCTTAGGTGTATATGGATGGAGGGTGCCTTGGTTGATGTTCTGGGAACACTTCCTTGTATGAGAATCCGTAGGCTATATGTCGAGGCCAATAGGTCGGGTGTTGCGTGGTTTTGGCATTGACCATTCCAACTTCATCGTATTTTTACTCCCTATGCATCCCTACTTCACTAAATCTCTTGCTTTATCCCTCTTTGGCTGTTGTAATATATTGTTGATTTACATCTGAGTGGGCCATTGGACGGAGTAATCTCCAGAACCTTTGGGTTACTGAGATATATTTGTATATCTCATCCCGTGTTGGGGCATTTATTTCAAGTAGTAGTAATGAGACTGGAGCTGTGGGCAAGAGGCCCATAGGTTGAGCATTTTGAGATTGAAACATTTTGCATTTTGAGGCAGATTGGCATAGGCTAGACTTACGGCATGAACATTGTATATGGATTTAGAATTACGTATATTGTCATATTTGTTCATGCCATCTTTTTGCCTAAGTTTAGTTGTACATGTATCATGTTATATTTTGAGGTTTATTTCATTGTATTTTATTTGGAGGACTTGTTGTATTATGAATTCCATTGGAGAATTATAATTTGTAAATATTGAACCTTGTGTAATATTGAAGCATGATATGTGATGAAAGAGAAATAGACCTATTCTAGGATATGATTTATGTTTAATGTAAAGAATGCATGCAATGGAATGATGTGACTGAAATAAGTTTAAGTTTTGGATAATGTAAATAATGAAATGTAAAGTGAGGAATTTGATGTAAATTGTAGTGGGTTGTAAGATAAACAAGGCATTGCTGGTTCTTGAGTGCCATCAATGTCTATTAGGTACCATTTGAGGATAATAACACTCTTTTAATAAAATGAGATAGGTTGAATAAACAAAGGAGATGCCGTCGAATGTTTTATAAAATGGTAGATTTTGGGTGAACTTTGGGAGAGCATATCTCCCTCACAGAAGTCTAATAGGGACTTTCCATACACCATTTTGAATATTGAGATGTCAAATATATTGTGTCAAAATTTGGTAGCCATTGGAGTTGTATGCAGACCTGTAGAGGCATTTGAGTACCGACTATTCTGGACGTCCTGCAGCAGGGGCTGTCGGGAGACGAGTTTTGGGAAATTTATTTCTCCCTTAATTATTGGTCAAATTAGACCCATGATATGTCAAACTGAAGCTTGAGGTATCTAGTTTACTGTACAAAAATTTGAGAGCAATTGGTAAAGTAGTTTGTCCAGAATCGCTGAGAGAGTAGAGTCTGTTTGGTGTCCTGTTTGAGGTTGGCTGGCAGCTTTGCTTGTCCAATT